ACCTGCTGCTCATGCTCTGGAGGTGCAGCCCCGCACACAGGCTGGCAATTAGGAAGCAAAAAGCTGGCTCTTGGATCCTAGAAGGGAAGGAAGGTGCAGGAGTGAATCGAGCCTGTTGCTGTTTGATGTTCTGTTCCTGATCTGTTGAGACCAGAATAAATCTCCAATTTACCTTTGAGATCTGTGACTCAAGCAGCGAAGAATCCAATTCAGGCTTAGTCGAATACTGCAGCTGCATTAAGAAATGAGTGTTGGAAACGTCAATTTCCAGTGGCTTCAGCAAGAAGAAAGCAACTTCTTCATTGGATGTGGAAGCATGAAATGTATGAACAAACCAGCCAAATAAAACCCCAAAACTCAGCTCTGAAAAAACAGTATGAGATGGACTAAAAATAGAATTCTTAAATGCTTATGTAAGAAGAGCCAGGTCTTACAGCTCCCTGGTTTTCAGTTTGTGGCTGCAACAAGTGCTTTCACAAGAGCTGTTAAGATCACCACTCTGATGGATACAGTATTATCTTAACAGCTTGGCTTCTCAACCCCAGTGTTTGTTGCAAATACTTGTTTCTGTTTGTCAGTTCAACAGGGAGCATTTCAGTGAAGAGGAATAATGTATTTCTCCACTGTTTCTTGCAGGATCGTGTGACATTCAGAAGAATTATATTGAAAAACAATGCAAAGAAGAGGAAGACCTATGAATTATTTATTGAGTCTGTGCCCCTTCTTAAATCCTTGGAGGTAAAGCCTCTGCGTCAAACTCTTGCATTACCATTAACTCTACAGTCCGTGGTTCTGCTTTATCAGAAACATCTGTTATTTTTGCTTAGAAGAATATTTTAAGAGCAGCTTTGGTATCACGTTTGCTGTACAACTTAATTTGCATGGTGGAAGTTGTGCGCTTTGATTTCGTACCCTTTATTCACAGTTAGCAATTTGCTGATTTTATTCTCAGTCTGTGTAAAGAGGTAAAAAAAATCACAAACAAAACACTTCTGTAAAATGTCAGAGAGCAGGTATTAAAGTGAAAATTGGAACTTGGGACTGTGGTTTCCTTTGAGGGTGTGATGCTGAAGTAGTGAAACAATCACAGGGATATTTGCCCTTTATCAGGCGTGAATGATTCTAAATTTGAGACAGAAGATGTGGGCCATGATAGGTCTTGCTTTAACCTTAACCAGTATTCAGGAGGTAAACTAAGAATGGGCTAAAGGGAAGCACTGGGAACAAAGTGACAGGTGCCATGTTGATGTGTTCAGTGCATGACTTTAGGAACAATGTATAAATTGTCACTTCTAAGCTGTTGAGTCAGCCTGTATCTTCAGAGGGCTTTTGGAGCCGTACCAAACTGCTTTTATGTCTGTCTCTGTCCTACACCATAACTTAACTTTTCTTTGTTTTCTCATCATAAGAATATTTTTCAGCATTATTTGAGTAGAGCTTTTAATCTCTTTGAGAGAAGATTACAAAACTTCAAAGTATCATTAGGTGGGAATAGCAACCCCTACTATATAATATAATATATTGGATGTATGTCGATAGCTGTGGAAGGGGTAAATTGCACAACACCCTCTCTCCCTCAGTACCTGGCTTAAACTAGTTCTATCAATGTGACTTTGAGCACAAAAATGACTCATAAATACTTAAAGATATAAAAAAATAACTCATTAGCACTGGATGGCTTTTTGCATGACACACTGCAGTTGAATCATGCATGGATCAGAATTAACTTTCTCAAACATGGGCTAGATGAAGGTGCATTTGTGGAATGAATGGATTACAATTGAATCGTCTGTGAAGATATGAATTCTAACTGTAGGATTTTCTTTCTTTCCTAATACATTTTTTTACACTGCTCTGAAGCAACAGAATTGTTTTGTGTGTTCGAGGTGGGCTGTGGGAAACACTGGAGATAAATTTGACTGTTCTTTCTCCCTTCCTGCTTATGGTACCTCAGGCGTGTTTCATTGCATGTCAGATTAGTACCTCTTGCCCTTGCTGCTGGGCATCCTGTTCCAGTGCCTGCTTACAATTTAGAGCCAGCATCCTTTTCATACCCCCTTCCTCTGTCCATTCTAGGATTGAGTTCTGGGACACAATTTCCCCCCACATATTCCAGTATATGGTGACTAAAATATTTAGAAAATGTGTTGCTGGTGTTTCTCACTGAAGTTAGTTCTTATGACACTTTTTGGAGTGTTTTCTTCAAATTTCAACTGAATCTCAGAGGAAATTACTAATTGGTTTTTTCAATTGCTCTGAACAAGCCAAGTCAGTTATTTATTATCTCTGGGGGTAAGAAAAGCACACAGATGGGCCACGAGACAATTTTCTTCCCTATTGATCATGGTAGTCTTGAAAGCTGTGGTGCAGTATGACACTGTCATCGTTGCAGGGGCTGTATTTTTCAGTACTCAGACACTGATTGTGTGTTTAGTGAATGCCTCATCATTTTAGGGCTACAAGGTTTACCAGAGATGTACTACAAGAGATGATTATATTTAATGTTCCTCTTATATATTATTATTATATTTAATGTTCCTCTTTGTTCCAGGCATCAGAGCGAATGAAGATAGTGGATGTTATAGGAGAGAAAGTGTATCAAGATGGGGAACGTATCATTTCTCAGGTACTCGAAGTCTGTATTTCTCTTTACCATTTTCCTTTCTCTGCTTCTTTTTTCCTGTTTGGAATTGACTTACAGAATCCTATTACTTAGACCAACTTGGCACTTCCTCTTTTAATACTTCCAATTTATTTAACCACTTCTTGAATGTCTGGGGAATGGCCACTATATCTTTTGCTACGAATTTATTGCATTACTGTAGCTCCTGGGTTTTTTTCACTCATCTGTTTGTCTTTTCTAAGTGGTCTTTGCAAGGTTTCCAGAGGAGTGTGCCTTAAGAAGCTGACATTAAATGTGTCTGCAATTTTCCATGAAAGACCCCAGCTGGACTTTTCACAGGCATCTATAACCAGATTAAACAAGGAGCCACAAGTGTGTGGTAAAGGCATCTTCTAATTCCTAGGTCTGACTAAACAACAAAACCAAAGAATTCAACAGGAGTATGACTTAGATGAAAATAAATGAAGTCATTTGGAATGTTTCACTGGTTGAATCCCACTCAGTTAACTAAGTAACTGTCAGGGTTAACCAGAACTGTTTTCCCTGATACTCTTAAAAAGAGTATTTCAATGGGTAGTCTAGTTGCAGTTGACAGCCTTTGGTTGCTGGTGTCTGCTGTAATAGATGAAGTTCAGAGTGGTGGAACATGAAGCTGGACAACCTCAAGCTAAACCTGTGGGAGTATCTTGGCTGTGACACGTTTTGGAGCACTATTACTGAAACGATGGAATTTTGCATCAGGTTTAGCTCAGGGTTGCTTTGTTGCAGAAGTGCTCTAGTTCAAGTGGAAACTAATGCAAGAAAGTCCTTGGCTTACCTGAAATTGCAGGTTTGTGATCACAGCTGTCAACTCGTTTTATAAACAAAATATGACTCCTTGATAATGTCTTGAATAATTAATCTTAATTACCCTGAATGTCAGATAACTGAATGTAGGAAGCTTTAGTTTTATTCTCTCAAAAAATACCTTTGATTTAGTAAGTTGAAAACCTTGTTGCGTAAGATCCTGAGAAAAATGAACTCTCAGCAATATCAAAGCTTATAAATCAGTCTCAGAACTGTGAACCCATGCAATCAGTGATCCAATTACACAGTTGGTTTTAATCTGTTGTAATAAGTGAATCAAGGACTAGGATGTAATTACCCTTTAAAAGTAGGATTAATAGTCTGCATAGGTCTGGGTGATGGTAATAACACTGCTAAAGATGATGAAATTTTGTGCTTGGAAAAGGTGTGATAGCTCTTACATTACTGCAGTTCATCCATACCAGGAACCCCTCTTCTCTCATGGGTAATTTTACATTTTACTTACCTTTCTGGAATTTGACCCTTTAGTTCAGGGCAGTATGCTTGGAAGCACTTGAAAATTGTTGGTGCCTGCTGGTATTAGGAGGGTATTTCGCACTCAGTTGATTTTTAACTCTTTTAAAGTACTCTTTCAGAAGTGTGCTGAGTGGATTAGTTCATGGTGTGATAGATGGCAACAGCGAAGGAAAGCTTTGCAATGGATGGTTCACAACATCTCCAGGAAGCTTAGCTAAAGGCCTTGTTTCTTCTGTAACTCCATGTTTAAATCTTTGATCACCTCCTCCCAGCCCGTGTTTTGTACTCAAGTTGTAATCATCTGTTTTCATCATTCCCATCACATTCATAGTCTTCTTGCCCACTTGACTTAACGTCACATTCCTCTCTCTCCTCACATTGTTTCACAGTTGTTTTGCTGAGCTGTTCCAATTCCCTTATCAGTTCCTTATCCAGCCTATGTCTCCCTGAAGCCTCCCCTCTCACTGAATGATATACACTAAAAACTCCTTCCCCTGTGGATTCCTCTGGTAAATTACCTAATGAGGCACCTTTTGTTAAGAGTTTGAGTGTCAGTTCTGGCAGATTTCTGCACAAGGCCTAGTTCAGAGCGGATGCTTTAATACCATTTATACACACTTTTACAGTAAATAAAAAGTAATTTGTTTTACCTTTTCCTCTTTCAGGGTGATAAAGCAGATTGTTTTTACATTGTAGAAACTGGTGAAGTAAAAATCTTGATTAAAAGCAAGGTGAGTTCAAATTGGGTGGCTTGGCTTTAGGTCAGTCCCTGATTTGATTAATACAGTGGTATGAAGAAGCCTACCCTGACTTTATTATAAGATTTTATTTCTCATCATCGCTTATGTGATGTAGGCTGTATGTAAGTCCCCATACCTGTCCTGAAGAGGCCAGAAGTCACTTTACTGAAGTTTGAAAGTCTTCTGCTTGGATCTGCTCCTCTGCAAACTAACCTGATATACTCTCCCTGGCTTTAGGGGTGGATTTGAAGCTTTTCTTCTAGGATAACAGAAAACTACAACTTCCTAAGCCTGTGGTCTGTTATCTCTAGCGACATACTAGATGTTGGCATTTGAAAGGAGCTCTGTACAGTCTGAAACAGCCTTAGGGAACATGTTGTGCATGATAAAACCTGTATGAGGTCAAAGTAACAGCAGTTCCCAAAGCTCTCACAGTAAATACCTTCCAATCTCAAAACTTGTGGGTGGGCATAAACTGCTCTTATCAAACTTCTAACTGAATGTGCTTTAAGGTGGTACCACTACAGAGCATGACTTGGGAATTGCTAATTGAAAAGCCCTAAACCAGCGAGCTGTTGCACATCTCTCAGATATGTGGGATTAACAGCAGCCTTGTTCAAAGACAGAACTGAGTGCAGATAATCCAAACTTACTGTTTGCCAGACTGTGACGAGTACAGAAGTGAACCAAGAAGTGGAGATTGCCCGGTGTCAGAGAGGGCAGTATTTTGGAGAGCTTGCACTTGTTACCAACAAACCCAGAGCAGCCTCTGCCTATGCTGTTGGGGAGGTCAAATGTTTAGGTAAGTAGATGTTGTGTATTTCTAGTTATCCTTTCCTGGTCTTTGCTTGTTCTGTGAATCATGCCCGAGTGAGCAGCTATTTAAAATTTAGCAGCCTGTTGGTATCTGGTTGTCAGACACAAGCAGCTAGGAGCACGGGCTGGAGCAGATCTCCATGCTGAAGGCTGAGCAGCATTGCTGCTTCCTTCCAGCAGATTCTATTTTTCCTGCTGGTGTAGGCTGTGCTCTCTGAAGGGGTGAGTAGCATCAGGTTCTTGTCTACAGCTTGGTTGTCACACACAGCTTTCAGGTGATCTTTTCATGCCAGTGTGTGTGTATTTTGCCTCCTGTATTTATCCTTGAGATCAGGTGTCTATTTCAGCAATTTTGTTTCTCCAAATAACAGTACAGAGAGAAATCAGAAACAGGATTTCTGTGGCTTCTACTGAAGCCTCAAACCCAGATGGGTTGGACTCAAGGTCTGTGTTCTGAGTTTTCACAAACAATCTTGTTTTCACCTCTGTTCCTTTGCAGTCATGGATGTGCAAGCATTTGAGAGGTTGCTTGGACCCTGCATGGACATTATGAAGAGGAATATAACACATTATGAGGAGCAACTGATAGCAATGTTTGGCTCTAGTATGGACCTGAGGGATCCAGGGATTTAGGCACAGGGTACCTCAATGCCTTCTTAGATCAAGACACAGAAAAGCCTCCTATCAGCAACATAACTCACACGGAAAACGGACACTATGGAACAGTTACTGCTGCTGTCTTCTTGGGCATTTTAGAAATCATCAACAAGTCTCAGCACAGATGGATTGCTCACTCCCTGCCTCCACCTTGCTGCTTCATCATTAGACCTAGATTAAAGATCATTGTAACCCTATGTTCACTTACTTGGTTCAGAACGGCATCTGCCCAGCAGTTCAAGTGCCTGATACGAAACCCAAAGTGTGCAAGATACAGAAGCCTCCTTCCTTCTGGTGTTACTGTTGGGATAAATTTTCAGATCAGATTCTGTAGTGGCAGGTTGCCTGTTCTGCAGAGGCAACCAGTG